AGATTAATCAGCTTTAAACAGGGGGGGGAGGACAGAAATAAGAGCTGGGAGCTACAGAGCTGAGTTACTACTGCTTTCAGCCAAAGTCCTGACATGAATAGGCTGTCATACGGATTTTTAGGTCTTCCAAATGGATTCTCTTTGATTTTTTTTTTTTTTTTTAATCTATCTGTCCTCACCACTATTCCCTCTCCTAATTTGATCCTGTCTCAGGTACCTCTCTGCTCAACTACAGTGACATTTCCCTGCTTGCTTCCAGCAGCTCCTTTGGCAATCTTTCCTCCTCTTCCTTATATAATTCATGACTCCAGGTCGAGAGCTGTTGTATTTTTCTCATTTGATTCAAGAGATTTAGCTTTTTACTTAGAGAAGCGGAGTTTATGTGATTGGCCACCTTTCCAGCACGTTCAGCAAGAGCTCTGTTTTCAGAGTGTACGTTAATGAAAATTTTCCATCTGAAATACATATACATGTTGCAAATGTTTTAAATGTAAGCGGCAACATTTCAGCAGTCATGATTTTGCCCTTAATTGTTCTATTATGTGTGTTATCAAAACAAACGCTTTAACACTGACTGCAGGAAAACAAATACTTAAGGTGGTGTCCCAAATATTAAAAGAACTGGGAACTTTTAATATGTTAAATAGATCACATTAAAGCATGAAATGCTTTGAATTACGGGGTTTTATTAACTTCTGTCAATGCTCATAGTTGAATTCTGGAAAAAAAAACCCAACCTATATAAATACAAATTTGTGAAGTTTATTTGCAGAGATGCAATTCGAGTCAGAGGAATCTTGGGGGGGAGGGGGCAAAATTACTAGCTCTCAATAGAGAGAGAACTCAGTATTGCTCTGACTGCTCTATAGCAGTGAAAATATTAATTTAAACAGGATTTGAATATTAAATGCAGAGAGGTAGAAAATGAGAAATCTTTCTTAAGTTATAAAATAAATAAATACAAATCCAGTACTTTCTGAATCTTAAAGACCTCCTAGTAGCCTTTTTTTTATAAATAGAGAAGGGCAGCAGTGTCCAAGTACATAGTACAGGCACTTTGATTTTATACAGTGACCAAAATTGTTTTTCAGCTGTTCATTTCTCCAGTGCCACCTTTCCATTTAAAGAAAAATAATCGACATAACCTGGTAACAGAGTGATTGGCAAGAAAGCGTTATTTGGAAAATATTTTCTTTGTTACTTAGTTACTGTGATCTTTCGAGGGGCTGTCTTGTAAAGCTCTCACTGCTGGCAAGAGTTCCTTCAGTTTAGCTTCATTAGTATCGGGCAGAGGAAAGAAGTTGATAACAGTCAATTCGAGCATTATTCTCTCAAGCAGCCTGCATAACATAGTTGTGGGTTTTCATGGTAAGAAGAAGGAGAATTAGCTCTGTTCATTATGTTGCTTACCCCTTGTCATGTAGTAGGGAAGAGGTAGCACGGCTGCACAGCCCATGAACGTTCTGAACATTTGTGAACGTTTTGATGATACACAGCTGTGTCACAGCTCAAGTTTCTGGTAGTAAAAGTGTGTTCCAGGATCTTTATGTGGTTTCTAGTGCAAATTTCCTTAATGTCTGCAGAACTCGATATATAAGTTCCAAGGATCAAGCCCTAAGGTCTGAGCTAGGATCAGGACCTCATTGTGCTGGGCGTTCTGTGACAGATAGTTGGCGCTCTCTGCTTCAGCAAGTGTGGTCTCCCATAAGATGGGAGAGAAGTTAGGTGGAATTAAAGGGCACCTATTCCTGGTGTATGATGGATTCACCTGTAAATACTGATAGCCTGAGAGATGTCCTGGTTTAGCTTTGATTTCCTCTTTTTTTTTCCTCCCCCTTCCGCTCCCCCCCTTTTTTTTCTGAATTTGATCCTCATCATATAGAGAATCTGTCTAATCATTTCCACAAAATACCTAAAAATGTTTTGTGTCGATAAAGAATATTTAATTTTGGGCCAAGCAAGCATATGTTATAAGGAGACAATCTCCATTACGAAGAGCAAACACGCTTTTTGAAGAAGCCACTGAACAAAGATTATACATTTATGATGAGTAGCTGAAAAGCTTCTTGATACGACAGTATTCTTAATGCCCTATGTATTAACAGTCAAATTTTATAAAGTTCTATGTAGAGGATTAAAGACCCTTGATTGAAATGAAGGGTGAGGAAATAACTACTATCAACATGTGTATGCTGATGGAAGTTGGGCTGAAATTTTATCTAGAAGGGGGTCTGTTCTATTTTAAAAGATGAAAACCAGAACAATTACTATTTTTATACACATTTTAGAACTTGTTTCCCAATAAAAAAATAAATATGGGAATGAGGGAGTTCGCTAAAGAGTTGCTCAGTAGGCTGTACCAAGACAGGTACCAAAAGGTTGTCAACCTTTGCTATGACTTTCCACCAGACCCTGTTTTTTCTGGATACCACGTCAGATCTGTAGTCCTCTTACAGCCAGCATTGAAACCAAACTCTTCTTGAGCTTTGCTGTGAGTCAGTAAGTTGTTGGTCGTCTCTGCTTAAAGCAGCTCAGTCAGTCAGCTCTCCTGTGAAAAGCAGAGCTTGTCGTGGTCCATTGCAACTTCTTTTGAGAGTGCCTAATGAGCTGCCTGGGACCAGATATGGAACATAATTATGTGTGAGTGAGTGTGGCACTATTGTATGAGTGAGGGAGATGTGGTATTAATGCAGATGAAGTCCTTTCTTCGGTGGAAGTCTTTGGCTAGTTTGGATACAAGTGCATTCAATAAGAAAGAAGAAACAGAATGTGTTTTGATGATTGATATCTTTAGAGGTTTAATGGCACTTGGAAAGTCCCTACTTAAGAGGTGTTAATGATCCTGTGCATCTTGGGATGAAAGTGTGGTGAGGGAGGGAATGGTTTTCTTTTAAAGCATAACCAAAAAAAGCCAACAACAAAAAAACTGAAGGAACAGGAAGAAACTGGAAACAAAAGCCTATCTCCCTCTATTAATTCTCCAAAGCCAGGAACAGAAACAAATTGAGGTAAGAAACAAAGAAAATAACATACAAGGATGGAAGTCAGAGAAATTCTGAACAGTGGGGTCAGATACTTTGTTTACATGTGTTTAAGGTAAGGGCAAAAAGTGAATTGAGAGAAATTTGACTCACTTGATAAACATTGCATTGTTATTGGCAATTGGTACGCTGTAGTATGTTTCACAGTGACTTTCACTAGAACTTGTGTTCGTTGTATTACTTTGGGGCCCAATTGCATGTTTTTTAGCTACTTTATATTCACGTGTGGTTGAAATCACTGTAACTGGGCGGTGACCTTGGATGTAAGAAAAAATAATTGAATATTGTAAAATAAAGAGCACATGTTGTAAGAAAACCACTGTGGTTAGTATTTCCTATGATAAAAGGACATAACTAGTTGCCCTTTTTACTATTTAAGGGAAATACTTAAAATTGTCAGTGTGTTAGAGGCAAACTGTTAGATGGATTTTGGGTTTTACAGCACAGGTAAATACTGGATGTGTGTGCTTTTAAGTCTCTCTTCCGTGTTTCCCCAAAGCAGGCATGGAAAACCAGGGGATTACTGACCTGCGTAAAACTATGTAAACTTTTGTACTAGCTAGCTAGTTAAGTGTCCTAGTAGAGCGGTTGAGAAGAGGGTTACGCGTGGCATAGATGGGGAAAAAAATGCTGAAAGGAAGGGAGACTTGAAAGACTTTTGAAAAGGTGGTTGCCTTTGTACATGTTAATGCTTTACTGATGAGAATACAGAAATCAGATGAGAATCATAAATGTGAACTTGATTCATGTTTTGTTTAGGGCTTGTTGCTGTGGGAGAGAAGGCACAAAAGAGATCTGGACATTATAGTGTGATGAAGGATCTTTCAGGTGAGATTTCTGCTTGTTCAAAAAAAAAAAAAACCTCATCTAAAATGATTGCTCTGATAGAAACACTGAAATTTTGCATACGTTTAATCTTTAAGGTAAACATCCAGTTTCTGCATTGATGGAGATCTGTAACAAAAGAAGATGGTCACCACCTGAATTTGTGTTGGTGGATGATAGTGGGCCTGATCATCGCAAACATTTTATTTTTAAGGTGAGTTTGAACTTCCTTGTTTGCGGTTGGTTTCTCTATTAAAAGATGTTATTAAATTCATCTTTGTATTTGTGTATTTCAGTGGTAGCCGGGGTGTGCTGAGCAATGTCTCAGTGCTAAAATTTCAGAGTGGTGTTTCTGTGGAGTTACATGCCAACTCAGATCGATCTCTCAAGCACGTTATCTGTAAAGAAACTGTGATGCTATTTCACTTCTTATTTAAATTATTAACCTATGTCGAGTCATATTCTTGCTTCTTACTTGCAGGTATAGTGTTGAGTTTCACTGTTGTAAAGGTGCTAGCCAATATTTAGCTATTTTTGTCCTTTAGTTACCTTAGAACGTGGGCTTTCTTTTCTCATGTAATATCTTGCATTAGCAGTTATCACTTGGAAATGGCTATTCGTACTTACAGACCAAAAGTGGATTTTATCTACCCCTAGAGAAGAATTATATACAGAACGTGCTAAAAAGAGTTATATGTAGTGCTGCCCCTGAAACAGAGAGAGCTAACGCTGTTTTTTCCCCCTCTCCTAAACAGGTGAGAGTGAATGGAAATGAATACAGGCCTACTTTTGCCAGCCTTAATAAGAAGCATGCTAAAGCCACAGCAGCAACTGCGGCTCTCCAAGCGATGGGACTTGTACCAAAGGAAAGCATGGCTACTACCACCATGTTTAGGAGTGCCTCACACCGCTAGATATTGTTTTTTATATTGACATTATTTCAGATAATTTACTCTGCACAAAAATGGTATTTGCCCTTTCATGTTGTAAATACATTGGCAATTCCCACGTTGTAAAAACTGTACAGGCACCTTCAGGTTTTTCTTTTGTACCATCAAAATGTATTTAAATCATACTTAGTTTTTGGTATGTTTATATTGTTTACATTAGTGATGTAATTATTTCTTAAATGACTAAAATCAGACAACAGACTCTGGAGGCATCAGTAATCTAAACCCTTGTTTTAAAACTCATGCAATTTCTCTTCGATATGGAATGTTAACACTTTCATACTGTTTTGTACTATGCTGCAGTTTTCCCTGGTCTTGGTAAAGCTACTCTTGCACTTTTGCCTACAGCTGGTAAAAGGCCATGCAGCTTACCTTAGTCTAGTCGGGGCTGGCGTGTACTGCTGGACAGATACTGGGCCAGTACTGTTACCCCTGTGAGAAAGCAAGCAGTGGTAGCCCTGTTGTACAGTGTTAACGCTGCGGCTTCTCTTTGACTTTTGTTTGGGGTTTAACTCAGTGGTGCACCGCAACTGGCCGTACAGCCCATATTCTAGGACATACGTGATTAGGCAAAAGACTTGCTTTCAACGGGAGGGCAGATGGTCCAGCGATGGAACTGATGAGACTTGCAATGTAAAAGTGTCTCTCCCTGCATGTTCTAAGAAGGGAGATAATGGAGTTGTCTATTCCAAACAAATTAACACACTGCCTGATGTTGATTGTATGAATTTGTGGTTAATGTGAATTTTAAACTCTAACAAATCTACAACTGGATTTGGGGGGCGGGGATAGAATGATGCTTCAATTGTTGTACCCAACTTGGTCAATAAAGCAGCACAAGTTCATAATCTTAATCACTGGTCAGTAAACAGTAATTAAAATCTATGCCAAAACAACTTTTTGAAAATACGCACAGTATAGAAGTATGTGTTGTAAAGAGTAGCAACAGTTGTTAAGGGTTGCAGAATCCTTTTTAGTCTTTTTCAGTTGTTTTAGAATATTACCAAATTAACTCCTTGGGCTTTAATTTTCTGTAATGGTACTCCGCCCTCAAGGAGACAGCCTGATCCAGAGTTTTGGCTGTTTGATAATGGAGAGGATGCAGAATGACTTTAAAAAAAAATTTTAAGAAAAACTAGTACTTTGGCTATGTGCACTTTGAATTTGAAAGGAAAATTTTGGCTGCAAAGGGCATTGTACACCTCTCACCAGATTTGTCTGTGTTATGAGCAGATTGCCAGGATTTATGGCCTGTAATAGTCCAGATGCTTATTTTTGAAAAGTCTTTTTGAAGTTGTTTCTTATTACAGCTACTGACCAGAGCTTCATCTGGGAACGAACAAAATATAGTTTGTACACAGTACGCAGTACTCTGGCCTACAGTGAATGACCACTGCAGTGGCAGTAGGAACTTGGAGATGGGGAATTACTGGTACCTCTTCTTCTATGAAGTAAAGTTATTTGTGTGTTTTCTCAACTGTTATTGAACAAAGCCTCTTTCTCTGCCCTAAAGGGATGAGTAGCAGTGTCTCGTTTTGTACATGGCATAACGGAGGGACAGAGAAACGTTCTGAATTCTCTACCACACATTTCCAAGAAATAAGGCCCCTTTGTAGTCTATCAAAGCACTCTAGAAATGCCTGAATTAATCGTAATTTTTGTCAACGTAGTTGTCTTAATTAAACTTCTTTTCCGTTTGGCTTCTTGCCTTCAGTCTCTGGGTAAAATTGTTGTTCTTAGGTCTCCTTTCCTTACTTGCTGAAATAGTTGTAAGGTATGTAATAAATGTAAATAGGATGGTAAGCAATGGAAAGGCATTCTCTGGGAGAGCTGGATGTGACACCTCTCTTAGCTGACGTCTAGCTTTTTGATGTACAGCTCAATGTAATTAGCTCAGGATGTGGGAGGCAGCTGCTAATCAGGCTTTTGTTACTGTTAGCTGTATCAAAACTAGACATTATCGGAGATGTTGATCATTCTGTTTAGTAAGGTCTGGCTGCATGGTATCAAATCTGGGAACATACAGTCTTCTCTGGTACTTGTTACTTTGGTCTTTTTTGTCCATATTCCCTGTGTATACTGTGAAGATATATATGTTATCTCACAGAAGCGAGCAGATGAATTCAGTCTGACAGAAGACTCAATTTAAAAAAAAAAAAAAAAAAAGCAAGTTCTGGATTTCATGCCTTAAAGACATGATACTGTATATAAACTTAACCCCTGGTTTTAAGGAAGATGTAGAAAGAAAAAATAAGAGTTAAGATCTGTAACACCTTAATTATGACACTTCTTAATGTTGAGGTTTCTGTTTTAGTTTCATCCCTGTTGTTCAGAATGATACATGGATTTTAAAGCTAGTGCAGAGATGTGCTTCTGTAAAGTTTGTACATTTCAATTGGTCTGAGTATCCTTTGCATGCAGGAATAGACACGTAGTCTATATTAAAAGTAGTCTATATTTTAAAAAAAACAACTAGGAAGTACTCTCTTGGAACCTGGTTATTTATGCAGCAGTTTAGCTGTCTAAAGGGA